AGTCACAAGTCCTTTTCCTTGCTGTGTTCAGATCCTTACTCAGCTGGCACATCTCCAGAGAGACTTCCCTGAGCACCTTAAGTAGCACCACTCCCTGCCCTGACTCCTGTTCTTCAGACCCTCTCTTCCCTTGATGTTATTTTATGTGTTTATCTCTGTTTATTATTTGTCTATTCTGACCACCCCCTATTGAATATAAGTCACAGTGTCTAAAACAAAGCCTGGGGTAATAGGTTATTGGCACATATTTGCTGAATGGATGAACTAGTAAATGAAGAAGCCACACTGAGTGGTGCTAACCCAGGGCCCAGCCTCAGTGCTGGCTGGAAATCCTCCTGGCTTGCTTGTCTGCTCTCTCCCCTCCTACCTCTGACACCCTCCCCTAGCCGGCTCTTACTGTCCACCGGCACAGGGTCTCCTGCTTCATAGACAAGAGAGAAGCCACCTGGAGGCAACTTGGGCCACATCTAAGCCTCCGCAGCTGTGAGAGGTGGAGACAGGACTGGATTCAACCGTGTCCTCTGGCGCCATCTGCTGGCCATGTGGGACCACAGCCCTCTTGCTGCCCCGAGAGCATTGCTTTCCTGTCATTCTGCTGTCTATTCCATCACTCCCTTGCCTAGCTGAATGTAATTTTCTGCCCTTGAATTCCCAAGGCACTTTAATTTGCTTCCTTCCTGTCTTAATCCTACTTGCCTAGTTTGTCAATATTGCAACCATGTGCCGTAGGTGGCCCCAGGGATTGCATCTCTGCATCCCTACCAGGTCTAGGTTTATTGCCGATGTGCAAAGATGTTTATTAAGTGGCTGAAGGAATAGCATACTTGGGGAAATTCTCATCTTTCCCCAAAGTTAATTTTTTAGAGATACAACTAACTGTAAGAACATTCTTCTAAAAGAAAAAAAAAGGAACTGTACAGATAAAGCTAAAATTTCCTGTCATCATTTTTACTTGATTCACAACTCCCCTCTTTATAATTTTGGTGTTTGTACATGTGAGTGTCAGTCATGTAATATTTTGTGTGCACAGTTGTCAATAAGTGGAATCATTCTGCACAGTCTCCTTCAATGTGCTTATCATACAAGCGATCTCTCTGTTTATGTTATGGGTCTCATATGTTCCTTTTAGCTGGCAGATAGCATTTCATTGAACGTCCATGCTCCATGTAAGCATTCATTTTGCTGAGGATGGCCATTTTATGATTGCTCATTATTAAAACAATGCTGTGATAGCCACAGAGAACGCCTCTGTGTGTACACACACAAGCAGGTCGCTGGATCACGAGGCATAATTATTCTCAGTTTTTAAGATGCTGTCAAATGATCCTGAAAAGAAGTTTGGCAAGTTATACTCCCACCCATCCAGCTCAGAGAGTGCTTATATCCATGCAAGTTGCCATCAGTCAGTGTCACAGAAACATCCATTTTTGTTTGATTGTTTGTTAGCAGGTAGGTGACCCAGGGCATCTCATTTGGGTTTATTTTAATTTGCATTTCCCAACTCATCATATTTTTTTCTTATGATTATTATTAGTCATTTGAGTTTCTTTTCCCCTGGGAATTTTCTGTTCTGTCCCTTAGCCATTATTTCTGTGTTGTCTTCCTATGATTTGCAGAAATATAAAAAATATATCAAGTCTATAGTCTCTTTGTCTGTGATATGAATTGTAGATGTTTTCTCCCACTCAATGCTGTTCATAGCTCTTTTAACACATGAAAGTTTTAAATTCAGGAATGAACAAACAATATTCTATGATTTGTACATTTTGTAACCCACTAAAGAATATGTGCCTCTATCCCAAGTCATCAGGAGACGCTGAGGCAGAATGGCTATGTGAGGACGAGCGGCAGCTACGAGAGGGAGAATCACAGGAGTTTGCCAGAGAATGCCCAGAGAAAAGAGCGTGTAGAGATTGGTGGGGGGCCCCATCCTCTTGCGCCCAGCTGCCTGCCCAGCTGGTCAGACTGACCCCAAATGAGCCAGTGCACGGGCTGGCTAGAGACCCATGACCCCTGTGACTTGGCTTAAAAGATGAGGGGGACCAATCTGGGTCTCTCGGGAACGAGACTCCCTCCGTTTCTGGCAGGGCAGAAAGAGGTGCAGGCACGAAGCGTGGAGAGCCATGTGGAAGGTGACCTCCTGGAAGGAGGGTCCGAAAGGTCTCAGGTGAGGTCGCTGGAGCAGCCTCCAGTGCCTCCTTCCCTTGGTCTGGCTCCTGCTTCTCAAAGCTCAGCCTATGGGGCCCTAGTTCCTGGATGTCTTCTTGATTCTGCATGCATCCTGCAACTCCTGTTTCTCCCCCACGGCAGTACAATTTGAAGATGAACTTGGAGTCCAGGACTTTGCCTCCCAGTTCCCAACAAGGGGTGGAAATGCCCCTTGGAAAGATATGCCAGCCCAGACCTTCAGGAGAGCCCTATGCAGCCCTCTTCCCTGAGCCCTCACTCCACCTGGGTCCGGCCGGCTCCCCAGAAAGCTATTCTGGGTAGAGGCTGCGGGACCGGTTTAGCCTTTACAAGCATCTGGTTTTGTGCTTCGTTGGAGCCACACGAAGGAAAAAAAGGAAATTCTTTCCAAGTGGTCGGTGAACATGTAACCCCTGGGGGTGCAACAGGATGGGAATAGAAACAGGGTGAGGAGGGTGCTGAGGAATCCGAGCTCCGACAGGTCATTCCGGGGAGGGCAACTGAGGTCCCGAACCTTTCCCCAGGATCAGTCAGCGCCTGGAGAAGAAGGGACCAAGGGACTGCCTGGAGGGGGCAGGGCGGGGCCTGCAGGGCATGGGCACCCATGGGAGGCTTGGCGAGCTGGAGCAGTTGTTCCTGCAGAAGCCCAGGCACAGCTGGCTCCCTGGCTGGGGGAGGACGCAGGCTGGACTCCCTTGAAAACGGTGGAGCCAGCTGGGGTGAGGGTCTTGCAAAGAAGGCGCGGTAGAGCCAGCCACAGGTGGGCAGCGGGCAGTGTCCCCGCAGTGGGCAGACTTTGTAGGTCCAGGACTTCATGAACACCCCGTCAGCCTCAGGCCGCCCTGAGGAGAGAGCCCTCTCCCTGTGCTGGAGGCAGATAGGGCCTCTCTTAGGATGGCCTTGGTGTGAGCTGGGAGGCCAGAGGAAGTCAGGGCTTTGTTCTGAGCAAGGGGGAGATTAGGAGGGGTGTGCGGTGGGCAAGCTCAGGGCCTCTGGACCCTGAAGCCTCGACACGAGGCTTGTCACATCTCGTGGAACAGAGGAGAAGGCTTTGCAGGAAGATGTGGGCTTGTGTTTGGGGTGCCTGGGAGTCATCTAGCAGGAGGGTGAACGCACGTATCTGCCGCTAGAGACTGACCCTGGGGAGCCATTGACGACAAGTGGCCGTTGAACGTTGTGGAGTGGATGAGACTGTGTGGCAAGTTGAGAAAGGAACAAACCCTGGGGGACATTTAAGGGCGGAGAGAGGAGCTTGAGCAGGAGAGACCACAGGGTGAGGGCAGCAGAGGTCCCGGGGCGGAGCTCCGCAGGGAGAGGCAGGGGTGGCAACCAGTGTGGGCCGAGGCAGGGGCAGAGGGGAGGAGACCAAGGAAATGAAAGGTCCCAGGTGACTTGCAAAAGCGGCTCTGGGGGATGCTGGGACAGAGGTCCCGGAGAGGGTGTGGGAAGCAATGCAAGATGGGTGGCAAGAGGCCCGCGTGAAATGGGGGGGGGGGGGCGGGGAGGGTGTACTGGAGCTGGAAGTCTTGCGGGGAGGGGGGCAGGAGTGAGGCTTTCTAAGGATGAGAGCGTGGCTGGACAATGCAGACCTCCGGAGGCTGCTTCTGATTTCCCAGGATCTTCCTCTTCCCACTCACAAAGTCCCACTGGCCTCCCCCATGGATGGGCTTGGAGAGTCTCCCTCTCTACCCCCATTGCCTCCATGTTTCATAGGTGCCCCTGGAAACTATGGCCTCATTTTTTATCTGTCCCTCAGGGACAGTCTCTCCAATCACATGTGCGGACCTTGTTGGGGCTTGGGGCACCCGAGGACCTGGGAGATGGTGCAGTGAACGCACTTCGTCCAGGGTGTCTCCAAATCACTTGCAAGCAGCTCCCTCCTTCAGAGGGTTGCTGCTGGCCCCTCCAGCCCTCTGGGCCACTCTGAGACCCTTTGTCATGCCCTGAGACCAAGTCAGCAGCTCAGTGCTTTATTGATGAGAACCTGGTCCCCAGACGCCCCCACTGAGGCTTGGCCTCTCAGGGGCCCTGCAGCCCTCCCCTGTCTCCCGAAGGCTCAGTACCTGGTGTGGGGGGTACAGGAGGAGGCAGTTGTATGCAGAGGGCCCCTGTGTGCAGGCCACAGGGGCTGAGGCTTGGACATCAGACACATTTTCTGGTTGTGCACGGTGCCTAGAGAAAGAACTGGGCCAGCAGCCACCCACCCGCCTGCATGCCCACTATCTAGGGCAGGGAGGTGCCCCCTAAAACCTTCCAGTTGTAGCTCCCTTCCACTCTGCTCCCTTGCCCCCACTGCTTACCTGCGGGCTCTGCTGCCCTGGCTGTGGGAGCCAGCATTCGCCCCTTCAGAGGCCTGCTCCAAACCAAGCCTGATGCTGAGCCCCTGCCTGGAGGCCAGTGTTTAATCCTCTTACACTGGTGTGCACCCCATGACACACAGCTGACTTAACTAACCCCCCCCCCACCTTTGTGGGAAGACAGTGAGGACTGTCCGCTGGGGCCCCAGTTGTAGGACAGTCAGTGTACTGCAAAGTGGGGCCCCCTTTGGGGTGTACATGCTTTATGCACCTGCCTTCAACTGCCCTTCTTGTGCCTTGGAGAGGCAGGGGAGGTGCCAAGCCTAAAGTCCTGACCTGTTCTACGCCCATGGGGTGAAATGTCTCTCGCAAGTCCTGGTATCGACTGCCTTGTGAGGCTGGGGTGTAAGATCCAAAATTGTAGTGACCTTTCAAACCGACTACCTCCCTAGTATGGGGTGGAAACTTGGTCCATGCTGGCCCCAGCAGCTGGCTCTTCTGGTTTCAGAACACCCCACTCAGCCCCTGCAGGGTGCTATCTAACCAGCTCTCCTTTCACCGGCCACAGCTGTGGCCTGCATGCCAACTGGACATATGTGGTTGGCATTAGCCAGCTGAAGTCTCCACTGCCCGCCTCTCTGGGGAATGTCAATGGTGTGGACATTTTTCTCAGTTACCAAGCATGGTTCCTCGGAAGGGGCGCTCTCACTCACCTTGTGAGTGCCCGCTTGGGCTTCATAATTGTCCACCCATCTCACTGATGGCCCCTGTTCCTCACCGAGGCCCTCAGCGCTTCACAGATGCATCTGGGGACTGACAAAGCAGACTTGTGCTTATGGTCACTGTCTGGTTCCCAAGACAAATCACGTCAGTTTTAAAAGCCAACAAAATTTCCCAAGTCCACGGTCAGACTGAAAATCCCAAAGGACAGCAGCTAGGAGTTAAGGAGACAGTTAAGTTGAAACTAGAAATGTGGACGCAGACCCAGTCTAGCCTCTTGTGGACCTTTAGTGCTTGAAGGGTTTTAGGGAAAAAAAAAAGTCCTTTATGGGTTATAAACTAAAGAGGGACAGTCTGCACGGTTTGCACAAAATAGAAGTACTCTCCCCAATAAATATGTCCTAAAATGACAAGGCTCTCCCCATTGGACGGCTCTGGATCCCAGCGAGAAGTGAGGGGCACAGGCACAGGAGCTATGTACAGAGTGTAAACAGTAAGGCCCTTGGGGGGGGAGTAATAGGGTCAGGGCCAGGTGATGGGGTGTGCATGGAGGAACCTGAGTAGGGTGGAGTGGGCCCGTGGGTAAATACAACAGGCTTTCAGGGTGGCCATCCCATCTGCCACCAAAGCTGCGGGTGGCAGTGGCAGGCCCACTGGGTTCCTCCGCTGAAGAGTCAGGAGAAGCTGTCCCTTGAGAAACCCTGGCCCCTCTGACTTTTTCCCTAGGAGCCGCATGGGGGGCAGCCAGGCAAGGCCTCGCCCCGAGAGGAGGGCAGGTTGTAGCCCAGGGTTCAGGTCGTGGATGGGGTGGTGTTTCTCAAACAGGAACTGGGAGCAAATGGAGGCCCGCAGCCTCTCCCTCCTGAAGCAGGACTTGAGGGCAGCCGTGTCCAGGAGGGGCCGTGACTTTCCGTCCTCCAAGGGCCCTGTCCAGTCCCAGCTCGGAAAGCAGGCCACAGAGCAGCGCCTCCTTCAGTGTCCTGGTGGCTGATTCCGGTGGGCTGCAGCCCCACGCCCCACAGCCCACACCTCGTGCTCACCCTGCTCTCCGCCCTCTCCCTGTGGACTCCCTACTTGGGGGTTGGGGGGGGTGTCCTTAAATATCAGTCTCTCTGAGGTTGCCATAGTCGGCCAAGTCATAGGCCTGGCAGGTGGCGCCCTCGGCCAGGTCCTGGGGGACGCTCAGGGACACAGCCTCCACCGCGGGGCGCAGGGCGCACGCGGGCTCTGCGCGGGGCGCGCTCGCGTTCCCGGAGCGGATCTTGTGCGACAGGCTGGAGACCTTGGCGCGGAGCTGGGTGGTGGGTCTCCGGAACGGCCCCAGCAGCCTCCACTCTCGGAAGGCGCAGGTCGGCTTTCGACGGGCGGGCACCGGAGCCTGCGCCTCTGGGGAGCCGGGGATGGAGGGTTCGATGAGAGCCAGCGGGGCCCCGGGGGGCGCGGCGTCCGGGCCGGGGGCGCAGTCGGGGTGCTGGCCGCTGGTGGACGCTCGCCAGTGGTGGCCATAGACGCGCCAGAGCGGGCGGCGGCGGCGTCGTCGGTGGCACTGGCAGCGCAGGAGGCGCAGGAAGGCGCGCTTGAACTCGCGGCTGGAGCAAGGGTAGATGAGCGGGTTCACGCAGCTGTTGAAGTAGCCCAGCCAGAAGATGACCTTGAAGACGCCCTCAGAAGGTTTCAGTTGCGGGAACAGGGAGCCTGCGGGGAGCAGAGACTGAAGCTGGTTAGATGACCTGGCAGGAGAGACTCTCCTTCTGGAGCAAAGGGGCGGTAATCCTCGGCACCCCAGCAGCCTTGGCTGTCAAGTAGGGACTCTCAGGATATCTCCCCCAAAAGGGGCGCTGATATGATTCAGGGGCCCCATGAACTTGCATGGGAAAAAAATAATCATTTTCAGGTTATACATTTACCTGAAGTTGAGCATGTTCTTTTTTTAAATAGTCTTTTTTTATTTTTATTTTTTTAAGATTTTATTTATACAAGAGCTGGGTACAGGCCAGAGATGCAGGGGGTGAGAGGACTCACCAGAGACAGAGTGGGGAACAGAACAGGCAGACTGACTGAAATACACTGCTGAGGGGAGCAGCAGGTGAGACAGAAGAGGTCTGCTGCACCATGTGGGAATTTCCCTGGCTGGCCGGGAATCGAACCCACGCTGCAGAGGCTGCTGACGGCTTCACAGTGCAGCGCTCAACCCACTGTGCCACGGGGGAGGCCCTGAGCATCTTCTTTAATGATGGGTGTAGGCAACAGAGAAGAATTAGACACGATGGCAGGAAAGCACCATTTTTATAGGTAGAAGCTGGCACAACATAGCCAGCTGCATGTGTTTCAACCTAATATCAGCAGTTCCCAAAGATATTTTCCTACCACATCTAGCTGTTGCAGATGTTTTGAATAGTGCCTAGCTTCTCACTATTTGGCAAAAGCAGTCATTAGAAGGCATCACTAGATCTTGTTATTTAATGTGTGAATGTGTCAAATCCCAAATTTCATTTAAAAATCTCTTGACAAGTTTCCACTTGTCAAAAACCGGTTTCACCTACAATCCTTTGTATTTTACTTCATGCATGTGAAAGCATGACTTTGAGAAGGTTTCACAGACTTCTCCAGATGCCTCAGTAGTCCCTAGCACCTAAAGGATAAGAATCCTGAATTAGGTGTTGACTTACACCAAACCTGGCACCTGGGCTCTGGCAACCGTGACCTCACTCCCCTGGAGCAGGTGGATCAAATATCACGGGAATGCAGGGGCAGGAGAGGGAGGGTGGGGGTGCTGCTTAATATGGGGCTCAGCCTCAGCATATGGCCTCCAGGAACTTAGAGGAGCCGGCAGGGGTGAGGCGAGTTACAGGGTTTTAGGAATGGAAGGGACGGGTGGGTAAAGGGGGTGTAAATATGGGGCCCTGTAGGAGATGCTCAGAGAAGTTCATCTGATAGATGGAGGCCCTTAGAGGTTGGGAGGTTTGACTTTTATTTTGTGGCCAGCTAGGAGCCATGGCTGACTGTAAGCAGGGGAGAGAGGGGGCCTCATAACACCATGCCCAAGGCTGTGGGAATGCAGGGCTGTGGGCTGTTCCGGTGAGGTGGTCAGGGAAGGCTTTGAGGAAGCAAGTGAGGGGGGGGGACACCTGGGTCTAAGCTGTGCCAGGAAGGCCCTCCTTCCACAAACTTCTCCCCGGCATCCCTACCACGGACCCAAAGGTGTCATGTCTCTGCAGACACCTGACAGGGCAGAGGCCTGGTCCGGTGCAAAGTCCACTCTCTCAGCCCCCTCATCTGCAGCGGCAGGGGGCAGAGGGCAGGGGTGTCCTCTCGCCGGCAGAGGCTGCAAGTGCCTGCAAGGCTGAGAGTTCAGGGTAAGGGTCCTGGACAAATCTTGGGGTCTCTCTTTCCCTGGTCCCAAAGATGTAAGATCAGAGTTCCGCACTGCGGGCCAGAGGTGCTGTGCACCTTTCTTTGATCTGGGGCCCTTGTATATCACCATCCCACCCCTGGCATAGAGACTCCCTGGCACCGAGGGGCACCATGGAGGGAGGGGAGGGCCATGTGGCACCACATGGCACGGCCCTTTCAAACCTTCAAGAAGCCCTGAGCAAGTTCTGGCCATCGAGTATCATTTCCTTTCTCTCTTTCTGTGAAATGCAGATAGTAATATTCTCTGGAAAGGATTTTTGAAGAGGCATAAGTTTCAGGGCCCAGCATTTTGCAGGCACTTACTAAATACTCGTGATAAATATTCGTGTCTCTTCACTGCCCCTCCACATTTCTGCAGCTCTCGAGAGAGCCCTCAGGTCAGGGAGAGGATGCGGTTTCCCACTCCCAAGTGGAGACCCGGTGGGTTTGGGGGCGCTGGGGCATCAGCAGGGTGTGCTGAGAAGCAGATCTCCTTTGGGACAGGAGTTGGGCAGTTGTTTCTGGAATGTGGGGGGTCACCAGGGTGGGCCTCAGACTCCAGGAAGGCGGCTCTCCACACAGCATCCCTCAACGACTGCAAAGTAAGACAGAATGCTGAAAATAACTTTCTGACTCAGGCCAATTCTTTTATATTTAGTCCAGAATGACAAATCAGTGGGCTATGCTTTCAGCCCCAAGCCTGAAGCCGGCCAAAGGGCATCGCTATCAGCAGAGTTTTACCCAGAAGGGCGGGATCCTGGGCATACTGTAGCGTGGCCTGGGCCTTGTAAGCATCAGCATCCTCACTTCTGCCCCACTAACCTGTGCGGAAGTCAGCTGCCCGCTGGGAATTCCTTACCCACAAAGTGGCTGGGACCCTAGCCTCACCTGCCAACCCCAACACGTTCCTGCTGTGTCCTCTGAGCTTCTGTCTTACTGGGGCTCTCCCAGAAGTAGACCCTGAAACAAGGATTCATATGCAGGCCGCTAATTTGCAAGGTAAATGAAACAACAGTAGTGGAGTGGGGAAAAGAAAGGAAAGAGGAGCCAGTAGCAGTTTCTGAGTTCGCTGCCACCATGGGCACCTGGGGAGACAGGGGAGACAAGGGAGAATAGAAACCTCAGAGTGATCCCACCAGGGAGGTGTAAATATGGGGCCTTGTAGGAGATGCTCGGACGTGGGGTATCTCTACCCATTCCTGTCAGTCATTGGCTGGGTGCTCCAGTGGGGTATGAACTTTCACTGGGGATTTTAGTGGGCAGAGTAAGTCCCTGGCAAAGGCTGGTGCCTGGAGGAAGCTGACCTCTTGCAGGGGAGATGGGTGGCCACCTACAGCCTCTGCCACTTTGTTTCATTGGCTCTGCCCGCCATGCAGATGTCTTGCCAGAAGAGACGGATTTCTGTGCCTCAGGCTTCAGTGTCACGGGAGCAACTCCCCTCACAGACGGTGGTTCTGAACCTCACACCTGCCTCTGCATAGAGTGCTGAGGTCTATCCCTTCCGGGAACCCTGGCTCACCCTGCTGCCCCCACAGCTTCTCTCATGGACCCGCTGCCTTTTGCAAGAGTCTCTGACAGCCTGTCTTGTAGGCATGAAGCTGTGCTAATGCATCCTGACAGTTGTCACTGGAAGACAAGTTCCTGGTGGGATGCCCTCCCTCAGCTCCCACCTCTCCATCCGGGCACCCAGAAGCACCCCCTCACCCTCTTTTCTCTTGTGGTCCTGCTTCTCTATGTGGCCTTAGTCTGTCTTCATGGGCACCAGTCGAGTGGCCACACTAGCTTCTCTGTGCCTCTCTGGCCACAGTGGGCTCCCCAATTTTGCCTCTGAACTTTGGACCCTCCTGGCATGCCCTTCCTTCTTCCGCCACCTGGTAGTACCAGCTCCAATGACACCTCCTCCTGGAAGCCTTCTTCCAAGTGCCAAGAACACCACAGGCAAACTTTGGGTGCCTGCCTCTCTCGTCCTTAAACAGTGAGCGCCCCACACCATGACTGGCTCATTGTAGGGACTTCACACCTTTTATTTTTTGAGCTATAATCGACATAGAACAGTCTGTTGGTTTCGCGTCTACAACAAACTGATTCGATATTTGTACACATTGTGAAGTGATCACCAGGAGTCAGTTAACATCCATCACGCAGAGTTGAATTTTTTTTTTCTTGTGATGAGAACTTTCAAGATCTGCCCCCTTAGCAACTCTCAAATACACAACCCAGTATGATTAATGGGACTCCTTGCTGGACACACGCCATACGTTCTTGGACGGCCCCCCATCCATCACTAACTTCTGTTGGTCCCGGGATCCCCCCACTTTGTGCCACTCCCTCTCACCCCTTTGGTTCAAGCTACTGTGATCACCTACCTGCTGTGTCCTTCTCAGTGGGCTCTCTGCCCCTGTCCTGCTCTGGTATCGCACAGCAGGTGGGGGATCCTTTTAAAATATGGCCCGAGCATTTCAATCCTTCGCTTCAAAATCATTTTCACTGCTGACCACTACTTCCTGTCCTCTCTCTCTCTCTCTCATCTGCGCTTTGACTGGCTGCCAGCCCTCTGCATTTCTCCTTTCATCTCTTTTTTCTTTTGTCTCCTTCTCTGCTTGGCTGACTCCTACTCACTGGCCCTTCAGCCATGCTCTTCTCGAGCCTTCTGGGCCCATGACCTTCTGGATTGAGGTTGTCCTCTCCAGCCTGATGCTAACTCTGGAGCGAATGCCCAGTCCCTGCACAGGCTCAGAGCCGGCCTCAGCTCTGTGCCCTGTGTTTCCAGCGACCTCTCCGCCCACTTTCAGCTGCTTCCCCTCTCCCACCCTGGCTCCCTTGGCCTTTTCCCTCTCTACAAGCCTTGCACCCACTCCCTCCTGCTTCTCCAGAGATGCTGATTTCACTTCCTTTTTCACAGAGAAAACAGAAGATGATGAAGTTGGGGATCCGCTCAAATCTCCCTCACCTCTTTCTTGTGGGTAGGAAGGAGTCTCTCCTCCTGCCCAGGGCTCGTGTCCCTCCTCCTGGACAGGACTCTCGGTCCATGAGTGGCCCACGAGCTTGCTCCCCGACATACAGCTGTGCTCCCTCGGCTGGCTGTCGGCTGTGCCTCACTCCCTCCTTCCCACCCACACCTACAGTCACCTCCTCCGCACCTGCTTTTCACTCCACTGCTTTGCTACACAGCCCTGCACCAGGCAGAGACTGCTCTCAGGCATCGGGGGTGCTTCTCATCTCACCCCTGGCTTCCAGGATGGAACACCCCTCTCTTGGCCTTCCACTCCACGTGAGTTTCCTTTGCTGCTTCTTCCTCATGT